CGGGAGGAGTGGGGTTTGTGGTGAGAACTGTGTGCCACTATCCCTGGAATTTGACAAGTGTTTAGAGGATGAATAATTGAACCAGCACCAGCTTTCAACCTGTTATCAAACTTCAGGGTTTCTGGAAGACACTTGCCCAGTCTCCTTCACAGAGCTGTCCAAGGAATCAAGAAAACATGGATTCTCAAGTCCCTTTCAGCACTTATTTTCTCTGAGCAGGGTTATTATGTAATCCGACTGATATTTTAGAATGCAGGCTGACCTGGAAGATAGAGAGACTAGAAGCAAGAAGATCAGTCAGGAGGCTGATACAATGTCCTCATGAGATATAAGAGCTAGCTCAAAAAAAAAAAAAAAAAATTGCTAACTCAAGGTGATAAGGAGTGAAAAAGAAAGCATAAAAACAAAATACAGAGTGATTTTCCTCAGAGAACCAGCCTTTGAAGTAGAATTCCTAGATAAGATAGTTATATTAAAAAAATTATTTGTTGTTTATCTGAAATCCTAATTTACCTAGTGTCCCAGAGTTTTTTGTTCTGTTTTCTAAATCTGGCGACATTACTTTGAAGAGGTATCTGAAAGGACTGTGGCCTAACGGGGGCTTCCTGTCTAGACAGGGGCCACCCACCTCTTTTCCAGCCAAGGCCAGTCCCTGCTCTCTGTCCCCAGCACAGGACCCAAGGACTTGACCTTTTTTCCTTTCCTCTTCAACACGCACACTGCTTTATCCCCTGGGCTTCCTTTACTGAAAGCCGGCTGTTGTTGCCCTAGCTACCCACTTCTTTGCCGCTTACTCCCAAAATAAGACCCCAGCCTCTCCTGAGAGTTTTACCTCTAACCGCTAGAGGGAACAATACAGAGAAACAAACGCAAAGAACAACAAAAAGTGTATTAGGTTTTAAAAGTTGCCATGGTTTGGGCCGCAGGTTTGCAGCTGCTGACCACCACTCTCCCACAATGATTTAAACACCTTTATTCCTGAGGACAAAGTTGTCAATGAAAAATATTAATCAATGGTCAATCCAAGAAAGAACTGGAAAATTTTATTCGAACCTATCTAGGAATTGTAAGCTGGAGACAGTCTTTCAGAAAACTCTGAGGACTGTTCCAAAAAGCTCAGGGGGAAGGCTTAGAACTTATGTGATTTTTGACAAAGGGGTACAGTTTTAGTGCTTGTCTAACTATGGGAAGATGCAAGAAACTGAGTTCATAAAATTTTCTCCTGAAAATATGGAACTAAGGGCCAGTTCTCCCAGTTTTCCCAGAGCACAAAATACCTCATCCTTATCCTGAATTCCTTTCTGGATGTACTGTAGATCACTGACCACAGTGGCTAATGACTTGATTCTTCTAGAACTGGGTAGTGGGCAACATCCTTTATTTTCCAGTCCTCTACAAAGGTGCGTATAGTTATGGTTTTTTCAGTAGTCATGTATGGGTGTTAAGAGTTGGACCATAAAGAAGGCTATTCATTCCCAGGTCAGGCAAGGAATTCATTGATGGGCCATTCAAGATGCTGTTACTGGACCAGGCCCCTGTTAACAGTATCCAAAAGCCTCTGGACCGTCTGTCTTACTAGTCTGTTATGGCCTGGATAATGTTTCCCTCTTGTTTCTTTCATATCTAGAGTTATGCTATACAATTTTTTTTACAATTTTTTATCTTATAGAACTATACCTTTGGTCAATTGCTTCAAGTTGCCTAGCTGTCACTTTTTTTTTTTTTTTTAGTTGTCACTATTTTTATTGGCAGCTTAGTCACACATTTGGTAATGGAAGAAACAGTAATCTTGTAAAATAGGCAGAATACAAGTAAGATAGCTAGTAATATTAATTAGGTCCTAAGTAAGCATTTAAGCTAAGAACTTTCATTAGGTATCTCTGCAGGTGATCTGACTTAGTCTGTCCTGCAACAATTGCTAGCTTTAAGGGAATGATATATTGGTATTGTACATAAAGTTTACCAAAGATATCTGCACATACAAGGCGAGTGGTGAGTCATCTGATGCCTTACAGAAATGAGAAAGAAATGTAATCTTCTAAGGAGTTACAAGGCTGGTGTCAGAAGAAGAAAAATTTATGGTTGAGCAGCTGTTTCTGACATTGGAATGATCTGGTTAACTCATAATACAGACACACACAGAACACAAGAGTGAAGAGAAGAGGCCCACGGGACTTCCCTGGTGTCCTGCAGTTAAGACTTTGTGCTTCCACTGCAGAGGGTACGGGTTTGATCCCTGGTCAGAGAATTAAAGTGCAAGTGTTAGTTGCTCTGTCATGTCCATCTCTTTAGAACCCCATGGACTGTAGCCTGCCAGGCTCCTCTATGTCCATGGAATTCTCCAGTCAAGAATACTGGAGTGGGTAGTCATTCCCTCCTCCAGGGATCTTCCTGACCCAGTGATCAAACCCATGGATCCTACATCTCCTGTATTGGCAGGCAGATTCTTTACCACTAGCACCACCTGGGGGAGAAGGCAATGGCACCCCACTCCAGTACTCTTGCCTGGAAAATCGCATGGATGGAGGAGCTTGGTGGGCTGCAGTCCATGGGGTCGCTAAGAGTAGGATATGACTGAGCAACTTCACTTTCACTTTTCACTTTCATGCATTGGAGAAGGAAATGGCAACCCACTCCAGTGTCCTCGCCTGGAGAATCCCAGGGACGGGGGAGCCTGGTGGGCTGCCATCTATGGGGTAGCACAGAGTCGGACATGACTGAAGCAACTTAGCAGCAGCAGCACCACCACTACCACATGGGAAGCACATGGCTGTAAGAGTTGGACCATAAAGAAGGTTGAGTGCTGAAGAAAAGATGTTTTGGAATTGTAGTACTGGAAAATACTCTTGAGAGTCCTTTAGACTGCAAAGAGATCAAACCAGTCCATCCTAAAGGAAATCAACCTTGAATATTCATTGGAAGGACTGATGCTAAAGTCAAAGCTCCAATACTTTGGCTGCCTGATGCAATGAGCTAACTCATTGGACAAGATCGTGATGCTGAAAAAGACCAAAGACAAAAGAAGGGGTTGGCAGAAGATGGATGGTTAAATAGCATCACCAACTCAATGGACATGAATTTGAGCAAATTCCAGGAAATAGTGAAGGACAGAGGAGTCTGTGCTTTAGACCATGGGGTCACAAAGAGTCAGACATGACTGAGTAACAACAATAATAGGGAACTAAAATCTGGCAAGCCATGAGATGTGGACAAAAAAAGACTTTCGGGATCTTAGTTCCTAGGCCAGGGATTAAACCCAGGTCCTTGGCAGTGAAAGCACACAATCCTAACCACTGTACCACCGGGGAATTCCCAAGCAGTTTTCTTGTCTTAAAATAGGAACTTTATTTCATCAAATCTCAAGACTGAATATTTTGATGCCCTTTTTTTGTGAGCCACTGGAACACATTAGGATTTTAGAGATAGAGGGTTGTGCCTCTTGTTGAGAGTTCAACAAGAGATGTAAACTCTCTGGAAAGCCATGAAAAACAAAAGTAAGGAAACTTTTTGAGGGTAGAAAAAAATACAAATATGGAAACATGCAGGTTAAATTTTTTTCCCTGTGGCAAAATCTATATTACATAAAAATTAGCACTTTAATCATTTTTAAGTGTAAGGTTCAGTGGCATTGAGTAAACTCACATTATTGTGAAACTATCACCACTACTCATCTCTAGAACTAAAAGCTATGACAAACCTAGACAGCATATTAAAAAGCAGAGACATTACTTTGCCAACAAAGGTCTGTCTAGTCAAAGCTATGGTTTTTCCAGTAGTCAAGGATGGATGTGAGGGTTGGAAGGGCTCCAAAGAATTGATGCTTTTGAATTGTGGTGTTGGAGAAGACTCTTGAGAGTCCCTTAGACAGCAAGAAGATCAACGCAGTCAATCTTACAGGATATCAATCCTAAACATTCATTGGAAGGACCAATGCTGAAGTTCCAATACTTTGGCCACCTGATGCAAAGAGCTGACTCACTAGAAAAGACCCTGATGCTGGGAAAGATTGAAGCTGGAGGAGAAGGAGTCAACAGAGGATGAGATGGTTGAATGGCATCACTGACTCAATGGACATGACTTTGAGCAAGCTCTGGGAGATGGTGATGGACAGGGAAGCCTGGCATGCTGCAATCCATGGGGTCACAAAGAGTCAGACACGACTGAGCAGCTGAACAACAACAACAAATACTGAAACTGTATCTGTTGAGCAACAAACCCCCATTCCCCTCATCCCCTGACAACACTGTTCTGATAAGACAAAACCACATTTTAGCTCCACGAATTTGACTGCTATAGGTACTTCATATAAGCAGGACTATTAAATATTTGATCTTCTGGGTCTGGCTTATCTCACTTAGCATAATGTCTTCACATTTAACCCATATCATAGCACACACCAGAATTTCGTTCCTTCTTAAGGTTGAATGATATTCAGATTCAGTTTTGTATATATTTTAGTGCCAATAAAAATACACTTAAATTTAGAAATATACTATGACTATCATTAGGATTTCCCACAAAATTAACATGGGAAAGCTATGAACAATAGGGTATGTAAGCAATTATTCTTCAACATTGGAGAAAATAAAAAGTACCACTCCCAAAACACTTCCTTTGGAATTCCTTGGTGGCTACGACAGTAAAGCGTCTGCCTACAATGCGGGAGACCCAGGTTCAATCCCTGGGTCGGGAAGATCTCCTGGAGAAGGAAATAGCAACTCACTTCAATATTCTTGCCTGGAAAATCCCATGGACGGAAGAGCCTGGTAGGCTACAGTCCTTTGGGTCGCAAAGAATCGGACACGACTGCGCGACTTCACTTTCACTTTCAGCTCTTGAAGTCTGGAAACTTTCTCAACCAGTCACTTCAAAGCCTGAGAACTACAACTCCCAGTAGCTCTAGGTACTGTCCCTTCGCTTCTCTCCGTCCCGCCCCGCCCCTCTGGCTCCAGAGACTGCATTTCCCAGAAACCCCTGGCAGGGTCGGAGACGGCACTCCCCGGGCGCCCCCTGGCGGCGCACTTTGGCGCGGCTTAAGTTCCCGGCGGCCTTCGCGGCGGGTTCCGGGCGTAAGGGCAGTTCGTGATGGCGGGGGCTGGTTCCGCCGCTGTGTCCGGTGCAGGGACGCCCGTGGCGGGGCCCGCAGGCCGCGACCTCTTCGCCGAGGGGCTCCTCGAGTTCCTGAGACCGGCTGTGCAGCAGCTTGACTCTCACGTCCACGCCGTCAGGTGCCCTGGAGGGCAGGTTGGGGCGGGGCCTCTCCTGGATTTGGCTTTTTAGGGGCGGGACCAAGAAAGGGCGGAGACAAGATGAGTTCGCTGGCTTTCTGGCGCGACTACAAGTGGGGAAACATTGGAAGCGGGGCGACTGGCGGGAGGGTGTGCAGGTGGAGGCAAAAGCTGGCTTCTCTAAGCACTTGGGAAACACACAGGGGAGGTTTTTGATTCCATTAACTGTCTGACCGTGTAGGCCTCGTACCTCTTTGCAGAGAGAGCCAAGTAGAGCTCCGGGAACAAATTGACAACCTAGCCACCGGTGAGTAAGCATCCCTGTATACCCTGGATCCTACAACTGACTTCAGTACCTTCTGTTTTGCTAACCTCTTGGGCTGGGTTTTTCTCACTTGCTTCTAGGGCTGCTGACTGACTCCTAAGTTTCTAGTGACAGTAGCCATTTGGTGAAGAGTGTTTTCCATAACATTTACTAGCTTACTTGTCCCAAGAACAAGGCCATTAGGTGTTTAGTTGCCTCTTTCATTTCCCAGAACTGTGCCGTATCAATGAGGATCAGAAAGTGGCCCTGGATCTCGACCCCTATGTGAAGAAGCTCCTTAATGCCCGACGACGAGTCGTCTTGGTCAATAACATCCTACAGAATGCCCAGGTAAAGGAATTTTCTGCCAACAATAATTCAAGGTACTTTCCGATTTTCAAAATGTGTCATGAAGTCCCCAACACAATGAAAGTCACCGTCATTTTTAGTCTTTGGGGAAAGGGAGTTGTCAACTAAAACTTAACTGTTCTTAACCTTGAGATGAAGCAAGCCTAAGATGTTTTCCAGCACCTAGTTGACAGGGAGCTCTAAATCCTTTGACAGGATAGTTATCTGATTCCAAATCTTGTTTTGTAGGAACGGCTGAGGCGGCTAAACCACAGCGTGGCCAAGGAAACAGCCCGAAGGAGAGCAATGTTGGATTCAGGAGTTTACCCCTCTGGTTCCCCAAGCAAGTAACAGGCCAGAAGATGGCCCGCGGCCACAGTGTAGCACGACTACTATTCCCCAGCTGCCTGTTTTCCTCCAGGATGCCCTGTAGGTGTTGGGGCATCAAAAAGGCAGCCCTGTGGTTTGTTTGAAACACTTCAAAGTCTTACCCATTTATGTGGGGCCCAAAGAAACCTGTGTACAGCAGGACTCAGGATCCCAAAGGATTTATTATGGCTCTTACTTCCAGGAATGAGTTGAGGCTTCTGCATTTTTTTTCTAAGCTGTGTCAAGGCCCACTTCCTGTACCATCTCTGAGCCTCATTAACAAGGGAGGGGCTTCCTGTTACATGCCAGGTTGTTGGACCTGGGCAGAATGTCCTCTGTGACTTCCAGTTTTCCTTTGTTTACACTAAGGATTGAGAGGAAAGGACAGGCAAAGTCAAGGTGAATGACCCATCTACTCCCTTTTGTTGACTGCACTGGCTTGACTACTGTAGGCAGTTACTAGAAATATTTCATTCAATAAATGCTTAAATGGTATTCCAGTTTACTTTGGTATATGGAAGTGTTCCAACAGTTTTCTACATTAATTCAAATATAGCTTCAAATTGAGATCTAGCATTAACAATGAAAAAAAACTCAAGTATCATTTTCAGTGAAGAGTACAGAAAGTAAATGGAAGCAAAATGATTGCCAGATGCCAAGGAAAAACAGTACCAAGAGCCCTACTAGGAAGTACTTTAATCTTTTTTCTTAGAAAAAAAAAAATCCAAACACTAACAGTTCACAACATTTCAACAACAAAGTACTGGCTTAGAGAGGTTTCAGGAGCTGGGGACTCTATAAGAAAAGTTGGTATCTTGCTTCACTGTAGATGGATGGCACAGGTCATAAACGGGAGACTTCTGATTACTAAGACACTTTCAGAACCCAGTGGAATGATACTTCCGTCTAGAGTCTTTCTTTAAAAATCTTCCTGTCTCCCTTACTCCCGCAGAAATGCCACCACATAAAGCCCAGTAGCAGTCAGCTTAGGCTCCAGTCTTCCCCTTGGGTAAGAAAGGGGGTGCTGAGAGAGGAGGAGGTCACTCCTGAGTCTCCATGCTTTCCTCTTCCTCTCCTTGAGGTGGCTCTTCTGTATTCTCCTCCTCTTCCTCTCCTTCCTTCTTCTCTGGTGGCTTCTCGTAAGCCTTTTCTGAAGGTGTCACTATCACTCCATCCCAGGTAGATATTTCAGAAGCAAGATCTAGAAGAAAAGGTGACTTCAGACAAGTAGCCCAACATCCAAGTCATGACCTACACAGTGGACACATGAAGACCACTGAGTGGAGTTACTTTGTAGATCACAGAGTATCATTAAGAACCCCTGCCCCACAGTGGTCACTCACAGCTGGCATCACCCTCCTGGCCAAGGATCTTCCTAAAGCCACCATGTGAGAGGATTCGGACCAGAGTCTGAGCTGTGTAGCAGACCATATCCTGAGGGAGGGCAAAGTAAGAGTAAATTAGCAAGGAGAATCAAAATACCTTCTCATTTTCATGACAACTGAGATGAAGAAAACTTAATTTCAAAACCAAAATTTGTGAGAATCCCCAAATCTCTGACCACTAAGATCACATTTCCTTTGCTTTCTGACAAAGAATATTCAAGAGGGGAGCACAATGGACCATTTCAGAGCTGCACCAACATACCTGCTGTTCCAGAGTCATGACTGTGTGTACTCTGAAGTTGCCACTCTCACAGGGGTCTGTGATACCCACCGACCCTGGCAGGAACAGTCCTGCAGCCAGAATCTGCAGGCATCGTCTGAAACACAGAGAGGTATTAGAAGAACACACAAGACAACGTACAGTCAGACCCCAAACCCAGAGCAGCATGCTATACCTGTATGCCACGTTTAGGGCCAAAGGCTGTCTGGTGGGATTGTTCATCACGGCATAGTGTCCCTACAAGAAAATCTGGTAAGTGTGCCATAAAGTGGCAATTCTGTCTTCAAACAAATTAAAACTTTAAACCATCATGAAGAAAACTTTCATGTTCAAGAAGCAGTTTTGAAATGACTGCTCATTCAGTAATTTCTCTCTATTACCACATTAATGACAATAGTAATGAAAAAGATAAAGGAGCAGTAATAACTACCCATTTAACTGAATACTCCAAAAACCCAAGAAATAATCAACATTGAATCTATTGGATTACTTGTCCACTAATGAGCTTTTTTTTTTTTTGGTCCCCCCATTCCTCTAAGACTTCTTTTAATCTGTACCAAGTTTTATCGCTTCTCGGCCTTTTGGCTAAGATCAAGTGTAATCTGTTCCAAGTTTCATTTTATGGTAGGTTTCAGACTAACTGCTGATTCATATGGTGGATCAGGAATTCCAGTTAGCCTTCATTACTTACAAGTAGGTCAAGTATCCAAGGAGTGAGGGGCTCAAAGCCAGGAAAACGAATCCTCAGGTCCTTCAGCAGTCTGATGAGAACTTTAACTCTGAAGGTAAGAGGCACCAGGAATTAAAAGCAGTAACAGATCATGAAACAAATCAGAGAATATAACAAAAAGCAAACAGAAACAGACCTACAGATACAGAGAACAAGCTAGTGGTTACGAATGGGGAGAGAGAAGGGGAAGGGGCACAATAGGAGTCATGGGATTAAGAGGTACAAACTACTACGTATAAAATAAATGCTACAAGGATACACTGTACAAGACGGGCATTTTATAACCTTTAAAAATTAAAGCAATAAAATTTTACTTCCATACCTAAGGCACAGAGCTGAAGCTAGTGCCAGAATTATTCCCTTCTTTCCCTCAACCTAAGTTGTTTGAAGTGAAGTGAAAGTCACTCACTTGTGTCCGACTCTTTGTAACACCATGGACCATACAGTCCATGGAATTCTCCAGGCCAGAATACTGCAGTGGGTAGCCATTCCCTTCTCCAGGGGATCTTTCCCACCCAGGGATCAAACACTAGGTCTCCCACATTGCGGGTGGATTCTTTGCCAGCTGAGCGACCAGGGAAGACCAGGAATACTGGAGTGGGTAGCCTATCCCTTCTCCAGGGGATCTCCCCAACCTAGGAATTGAACTGGGGTCTCCTGCATTGCAGGTAGATTCTTTACTAGTTGAGCTACCAGGTACTTCAGGTAAAAAAAGTCAAAATCCAGGCAGAAAATCAGTCAAAAACTGTTGTCAGAGGAAGGTTGGGTTATCATGCTGTTCAATGTAGTTAGAAGGATTAGGATATATCTTCTTGCAAATAGGGAGGGACTCACGTGGACTGAGAAGCATTTTCCTCAAACCAGCGGGCATGTCGGATGGCTGCTAAGGCACTCTGTAACACCTTGATATCCACTAGAAGACAAGCATGACATCCACCAAGATGAAACATTCCGATTACTGAGCAAGCAATTTAATTCCACTGCCACGCTTCAAGAACTCAGGAGGAGAACAGGGTAATTTAGTAATTCCTTGAACCAATCCCCATGTCCTCAGATCAGCAAATCCCCAAATCACTGTTCCTTCCCTAAGCCAGATCTGGAAGCATGAGAGAGCTCCAATTTTCTCCAAAAGCCTACCCCCTCCATAAATATTTCCTCAGTCCTTTTTCTTAAGTCCTCAAACTGCTTTCTTGGCCTGGTGGTTTTTGACAATTAGCAAGCTGATAAAACTACTTCCAAATTACAAAGGAAGACAGCAAAGTTTGGGGGAAAACTTGGGTCCCCAAAAGGTCTCATGTGGAATAGCAACAAATGAAGTAAATTCAACAGCATTTGATACCATGTTTTGAATTTCCCCCAAATTTCACAGCAGTACAATAAAGGACTAACAGTGGAGTTCTGGGTCCAGTTTTCGGAGGTTTGGTGGCACTGTTGTAATGAGAATCTTCACTGTAGCATCAGAAGAGCTGATTTCAAAGCCAGTTTCATTGGTCAGCATGGTCAAAACTGAAACAAGAAAAATCAGAAGTTGCACTCATTTCCATTAGATGACCAAAGGTAAACCCAGGATGAGGGTAGGGGAACAGATATTTATTTATCTATTGATTTATCTAACAGATCTATCCATCTGTTATTGTTTATTTGTTATTTACTCAGCTACGGGATCTTAGTTCCCCAACCAGGGATCAAACCCATGCCCCCTGCACTGGTAGAACAGAATCTTAACAACTGGATCACTAGGGAAGTCCCAGGTTTTTAAAAACAGCAACAGTCCAGAGTCAGAATTGAGAATACAGAATTTTAAAAGTAAGGGAAATCAATTAGATTTTGAACACTGGTGCTCTCTGCTAGAAACTTCCCCAACATAAAACTGCACTCACTCTTCCTTCTAGCCCGACCTGACTTTGTTAAAATGTACTTATAAACCTGGCTTCTATGACCACTGTATTACATGTTCAGCAACAAACTCAGAACCTTCAGAAGGATCCTGTGCTCTTAGGCTCTCCACGACCTTGTTTCCTAGTGCAGCAACAGCTTCCACTAGATTGAGAGAGAAAAAGAGATAATAAAGATTATAATTATTTTAGTAGACTTTCTATATGTCTCAAAGCTACTCTGCACTCTGATTTCTGCAGAGCAAGGACAAGCAACTGAATACACACTTTTACAAGGGGAAGTTTGTAAAAACAGAGAAACTGAAGGCTCAGCAACACCGCCTCCTTTACACACACCTTTTTTCCACAGTAGGGATTTTTATCAGTGGGACTAATGCCATTTTGGCCTGGATAATTCTTTGTTTGGGGTTGGGAGGTAGGGTCCGTCTTGTCCATTGTAGGATGCTTAGCAGCAACCCTGGCCTCTACCCGAAGACATTAGCCTCAAACATCTCCAGACACTGCCAACTGTCCCCTGGGGAGCAAAGTCTGTCCTGCAGTAACTGGTCATACATTCTTTCACATACAGCACACATTTAGATCCCTATGCCTCAAATCCAACTGCTATGTTCTGCTGCTGTGGCCAGTGAGAGGCACACTCACATGTTGGCAAAATCTTTAGGATCACCACCAGGTCAGCCACATTGTGTCCTGTAGTCATCGTTCCCTTTTTATATGATCCGACTTGTCGGACTTCTTCAATTTGCTGTTGGAAAAGGGATTTAAGAAAGAAAAAACAAAACTTAGAAGTGAGAAGCTTATTACTTAGATTTGGAAGTAGCAGAGTTCAAATCATATCCCAAAACGAGCAATGAAAAGCCTGATTCATCACAGCTGATAGTCATGATGAATCTCGTCCCCAAGACCAGCACTACAAAGGAATTCACTGCCACTGTACTTTCCCATTCCAAGAGTGGCTTTGAATAAGCATCTGAAGAATTAAGCGACAGGAACCAAGGAAACTTTCACACTACCACGGCTTCCCTTTCCTAGGACTAAATCTTCAAAAACTCACCACTTCAAATGTCCCTGGAGCCACAATCAAATTGTCAATCACATTGTTTATTTTTGTCACCAGGGAAAGGATAGAGGCCTGAAAGATAGCAGGAAACAAAAACACCCTCAGGTGAAATACTAAGCAACTTTTCATCAAGTTTGACTATTTCCCCCA